ATTTAGAGCAGATTCGGATTGAGTGGGGATTTCTGCCATGGTAAGTCCATGGCGCCCTTGCCACCCACTTTTGAATGGCGATAGTGGCATACCCTAAAAGGCCTTTCCCTGCAAGTTCCATCTGAACCCACTGAGTTCAGGGTTCTGGATAACGGTTTCTTCGTTCGATAAAAATTGTGGAATGTAAACCTTTACAGAAGTTTTGGAAGATCTATCGCTCCCAAGCACTTTCTGAAGGGTTCAGAGCATCCATGCTGCTCATTTGGTGCAACTACGTACCAGTAAATCAAGCGTGCTAGTGTGAACCTACTGAACTCTGTAATACTGAATATTTTTGAAGGTCATCGTCCATTTTGTCCTTCACCATCTGATCCCGATGAGAATGTATACTGCTGCCAAGTTTTTCTACTTCGGTAATTCGCTTCCAAGTTGTTGTCGATTTCCAATTCACACTGGACTTCTGGTAACTCTGACCATCTGCAGTGCGATACTTGTTCTCTGTTGGTATTTCTATCACTTAAGAATTATATTTCGGGTAGTGGATACACTTTTTTCAGTACTCGTGTTTTTGTATTGCTGGTGTTGGCCCAGTAGTTGGCTAAATGCTCGACGACGATTCGTGGCAGTGAACTCAAATGGCTAAGGCTTCTAATTCTAACTGAATTCCTTTGAAGTCAATAAAGTTGTGATATTACTCAAACGTACTGATACAGTAGTAGTTTATTCGGATTATTTTTGTGTTCCGCTTAATCCTTTCTTCAAACTGAATACTTACTCTCTGCTGGTGTCTGCTCGCTGAATACTTAGTCCGAACCCATCAAATAGAGGGACTACGATTCTTCAAGCGTGCCCTTTTAACTGACGAAAACCTCCCCATTTCACAGTGTTAGAAGTTTGAGACGCACCAATGAGATCGCGCACTGGTCCAGGATACCAGGAAACAGATTTCAGTAAAATCTACCTTCGTAGAAAGCAAGTCGCTAAAAAACTGGCTTGATTTCGGAAGACTGGAGCAGTGAAGGGTCAATAGCATCCAAATGATGCACGAGGCCACGCCTTTCGTCTTCGGGATATAGACTAGTGGGAAAGGAGTATTTCACGAGGTATTTATACTTTTAGTTGACGGCCATATCGTGGTTACTTGCCAATAGACCTCGACCTTCATATTGCTACCCGAAACAAGTCCTTACGGAATTCAACGAACATTTACGGTGTCATGCTACTGCTACAGAAGATTCTTGCATTTAAAGACACATGGGACGATCAAACATAGTTTGGGTGTGTGACTATCACCCCCCCCCCTCCCCTCCCCCCCCCCAGCTGTCGAAGAGTAGCGATCCTACTGTCCTAACATGCGCAGGAATGGAGATACAGGACCTGTGAAACACGCTAATTCCTCCACGCTCCGCCCAATGCCCTTTTGCGGCGCAGATTCCCGTTCATGCTAACAGCCGTCGCGTGCGGCTCTCTTGGCTTTTTGCCAAGTCCTGTAATTGCGCTTTGGAATACAAGTAAAACGCAATTTCCTGATGCTAACATTTGAGGTGTTGCTCATGCTTCAAAGTCCGAATAGAAGGTGATGAAGATGACAAAGGCTAGAAATGAAGAACAACGAATGTAGATGTAAATAAAACAAAAATGAAAAAATTAAGGAAATGCAAATTAATTAAAATCGCGTGTAAATTTCTGCGATCCGGCGCGAATCCGGCTCCAAAGCCATAGAAATACTTTAAACTAACGAGTGGGACGCTTAGGCCGTTTTTATTTTCATGTTTTGTGGGAATGCGCGGCCTCCGAGGGATATTGCAGAAGCAGCACAGTTGCTCTTGAGTTCTAGCCCTCGTCATCATCTTCGGTTCTTATTTTGCAGCACCTAAAATGTTATCCGCATCAGGAAATTGCGTTTTACTTGTATTCCAAAGCAATTACAGGACTTGGCAAAAAGCCAAGAGAGCTGCGCGCGACACGCGCCGCGCGGACGGCTGTTAGCATGAACGGGAGTTTGCGCCGCAAAAGGTATTGGGCGGAGTATGGAGA